TTGTAAAGGTCATTTCCAGGTATTTTGTAGTTTTGTTTTTTTCTAGACACTGTGGGAAAGGCCTTTTATTTTACCTTCTAGAAAGTCATTTTATAAATAAAAAGCTATTAGTTTGTGTTTATTGTTTTGTTATTCATCATCTTACTAAACCTTATTTTTTCCAACTGTTTTTCAGGAAATTGTCTTGGGTTTTCCAGATAATCATCTTATCTGCAAACTATGATTATTTGCTCCTCTCCCCCAATATTTATACTTTCTATTTCATCTTCTTGCCTAATTGCAATGTCTAGCACTTTAGGAAAAGTGTTTTTAAAAATATTGACAACAACAGCTACCCTAGTCCGGTTTCTGACTTTAATGAGAATATATCTAGGGTTTCACCAGCCTAATGTCTCTTGTTCCATCCTCTCCACCCCTGTAGCTACTACTTTAGTCTAGCCCATATTAATTTGTCACATGTGTTATCATAAATATGATAAGTAAGAGTACAGGGTTTGAAGTCAGATGACCTTTGTCCAAGTCCTGGCTCCAACATTTACTAACTACATGATCTAGTCAAGTTACTCAAGATCTTTGAAACTCTGTTAAAAAAAAAAGGAGCAGGGGGGGCTGTTGTAAGGATTAAGTCAGATAATACATGAACACAGTATCAGTAAGTGATTTCTTTTTTAAGTCTCAGCCCCCAACTTCTCCTTCTAATCCAACCTGTATACAGGGTACTTCAAGAAGTCTGTGGAAAAATTGAATTAGAAGATAATACAAATCTTTCCATGAACTTTTTGAAGTTCCCTCTTAGGTTGATCTTCCCAAATGACCACTGTGTTCACATCACTTACAACTCTCCCTCCTCTGTTCACAAATCTTCAGTTACCCCAACTGCCTATAGAATCAAGTTCAAATTCTTAAACATCCCTACCAACCCTTGACTCTAACCTAGCTGTTCTCTTAATGGTCACCGAATACCCAGTAGGCTGTCACCTCCCCACTCGGATCCCTCCATCAGCCTCTGTATCAGCTTTCATATTGCAAGTAATACAAAAATGAAATCCAAACTAGTTTAATAAAGCAGATTTATTAGGTTTGCTTACTGAATCCTCCAGATGCAACAGGCTTCAGGCACAGTTTGATCAGGGCTAGGACTCTATTCTTCTGTGATTTTCTAGGCTCTTCCCATCTCCATATGTTGGCTTAATTTTTAGGTTAGTGTTCCTAGTCACCAGATATCTGCCAGAAATTAGGGCCCCATGTCTCCTCATTCAAATTCAGACAGAGATTAAATGTGTTTTCCCAGGTATCTAACAAAAATCCCGAGCTTCTGTCGGATTGGGCCAAACTGAAGCAATCCCTGTCACTGGTGGAATGTGAGTGTGGTTGGTTTAGAACCAACAATGTGCCAAGGTCAGCGTTTGGCAGGGGGCGTGGATCTTGATTGGCTAAACCAATCAGGATCCATCCCCAGAGCAACACACCCTGCTGGAGACAGATGTGATGTTGACAACCTCACTTGCCCGAATTCAGGTTTCCTTTAAGACCCAAGTCAAACCCCAGACCTCTGGCAATATGCTCTCCCTTTCAGCTCCCAGAGCTCTTACTCCACTCAACACATGCTAACCACTGCCATATATAATTATTTATCTAGTCACTTGTCCCATCTTCCTGACTAATAATCACAGGACTGATGGAAGTCTACAAAACCCTTTACATAAACTAGCCCTTTTGACCTTCACCACTATCCTATGAGACTCAGTTAAGTAACTTGTCCTATGTCACACAGCCAGAGGCAACATTGCCCCGGAGTCCTCTCTCTCTCTCTCTGTCTCTCTCTCTCTCTCTCTCTCTCTCTCTCTCTCTCTCTCTCTCACACACACACACACACACACACACCCCACTCCCTTCTTCAACCTCCAACCCAGGCCTGACCTGAAGATACAGAAATCCCCCCCCCCCAGAGCCACCTCTTTTTTCCCATTTTACCTCAATTCTAGAGTTCTTTGTCCTCCTCCAAAAACTACAGAGAAAGTTTTCTTGCCAGACAGCAGTTTCTAAGATTTGTGTGACAAGGCCAGGTAAAATTCAAATGACTCTGGGTGATTTAATCTGCTTGGGGCTGAGGTGGTAAATCAGGGCAGCCCAGGCTGCCACAGCCGCCCCAGAAACCCACAAGCTGAGCTGATGATGGGAGTTTATCTGCAGATCTGCAGGTGAGGGCCCTGGAAGCGTGAACTGCGGCCAGGGGAGTTCCCCTCCACTGCATCTGGAATACATTTGGAGGGTCCTACAGCCCACAGCCTGTCCCGACCTACATGTTCCACCAGCAGACCCCTTTCCCAAGGCTGTAGACCTAGTTCCTCCCTCCCCCACCCCCACCCATTCTCAGAGCTGCTTCTCAAGTCCACACCGGACTTCTCAGGGCGAGGAGACCAGCATCGGTCAAGCTTTCACTGAAACTGCCGCCTCAGTGCCAGGTCCTGCTACGCCCATTACCTCATTCATCTTTACAACAACTTAATGAGGGAGAAACGTCCATCCCCAGTTCACAGGTGACTTAATTGAGGCTCAGAGCAATTAAATAACTCACCCAGGGTTGTTACACAGCTAGTAGGAGGCAGAGCCAAGATTCAAACTTAGACCCATAAGACTCCAAAAGCCTCATCCTCTGACTCCAACCCTCTGTGGAGGCCAAGGGAAGTAAGAAGCTGGCAGCTTTCATAGGGACCATGTTGTCTGAGAAAAGAGAGGAGCAGTCCCCAGCTGATGGGAAGTTAGGATTCTGAGCAATGAAGCAATCATTTTCCCATACAAAGGAAACATCAAAGGAAAGGGTAGTCACACTTACCAGGTGCCACTGTGCGTATATGTGGGTGCTGTGTGCCAGGAGCTCACATCCATCATCCCACCCAGAACTCTGTAGACCGTAAATATTTACTGTTTGCTGGGAAAAGTTTACCATCCTGATTTGTATCATTTGTCAATTTCTGTGGTGTAAATACTCCCACAATGGTCAATTTCAAGCTACTGATGGGATGTCACTGAACCCTCCTTGGGAAGAGATGTCTCCATCGGTACTATAAAGCAGCAGGAACCCTCTCCAACACACCCCTGCCTGTAAGGGAGTATTTGTTAAACCCACTTAGCAGATGAGATCATATGAAAAGATGCTCAGGCTGAAACCCATTTCTTTACAATTTTCTGAAGTCCATTCTCTCCCAGCTTCATGTTCTCTGAAGCAAAGATGATGCTGAGAACCACAATCACTGATCTCTAATCTCTGAAGGAGGGTGGACTCCTGTGAGATTCTGAAGGGCAGAAGAAGACCAGTGGGCAAAAGTTCAGCAGATCAAGGTTCGACATATTGGAGAACTTTCTGGACGCCCCTCTGGACTGACAGCTTCAGGAAGGCAGCATCTAGCACATAATAAATGCACAGTAAACAATGAATGAATGAGCCATTACATACAAGTTTCATTGACACCTCGAACTCGCCAAATCCAAAATGGAGCTCATATGGTTAATACATGACATTACGCATTAGGCAAAACCCATCGAACTGCACAATACAAAGAGGGAACCCTAATATAAAATTAAGTTAGCAATAATATACCAATATTGATTCATAATTGTAACAAATGCACCATGCTAATGTAACATGTCAATAATAGGAGAAACTGTACATGTGGGTGGGAGAAGGGTATGGGAACTGTCTGTACTTTCTTCTCAATTTCCTCTGCAAAACTAAAAGTGCTATAAAAATAAAAAACTAATAATTTTTTTTAAATGGAGCTCATCACCTTTCCCAAAAAACCTATCTCCCCTCCTGTGTTTCCTGTCTCAATGAATGTCACTACGCCAGAAACGTGGGGGTCCTGACTCTTCCCTCTTCCTCATCCCCCACACCCTATCAATCAACAAGCCCTACCTATTCTACTTCCTATACATCTCGTGAACAGGTGCTGCCCTCAACATCCCCACTGTGCTCCCCTGGCTCAGACGGTCACATCTGTCCCTGAGTGGCACAACAGCTTCCTACCTGGTCTTTTCAGCATTCATCCTTGGCCTGTACCCACTCCCCACCCCTGTCACATCCATCACCAACAAAGCTGCAAAAGCGATCTTTCAAAATTTCACCTATGAGCATGTCCCTCCCACCCCTTCAGTGGGTCCCTGTTACTCAGAGTATGGAATCAAAGCCCCTTGCTCCCACAGGGCCTGGCCCCATCTCCCTCCCCTGAGTGATCCCGCTCCTCTCCCTCCACCCCACGTTGGTCTTTATTCTTCAACAGCACCAAGCTGCTTGGTGGTCCCCGCACTCCTATCTCTTGCCTCCACCCACCCCTTTGCTCAAGCTAAAACCCCCGCCTGCAGTGCCCTCGCGTCCCTCTCCCATCTCTCTTCTCTTTGCCTCAGTAACTCCCACTCATCCTTTAATATGTCAAGTAAGATCGTTTAGGTGAATGGTTCCTGGGGGCCCTTGTAGTCCTAACATTTCATGATTCTAATGACAAGTCTTGATATTCAAGGCCCTCTGGATTCTATAGTCACCTTCTTTCTTCATGGCACCCTGCATAGGATCCTGTAGTCCAATTCCACCATTGTATGGACAGAAAATCTGAGGCCCAGAGAGGAAGAGGGATTTGCCCAAGACCACACAGCATGGCAATGGCTAAGCCAGGACAAGAACCAGGCACCTGCCTCCCGGCCCAGGGCTCTTTCTTTGCATTACACTCTCCAAGCTAACCACCCCCCCCACACACACACACACTCACCACACCATCACTACCCCTCTGTGACTTACCTCCTCTCACCCAAGCCAGGCTCGCGCCTTTCCTGCCTTAGCTCACGCAGCTGCAAGGCCATTCCTCCAATGCCATTCAACTTCCACGTCCCTCTACCTCCAGGAAGCCTACCTGGGTTATCAAGCCAAATCTATCCACATTTCACACCCACACACACATACACGGTGTTCCCCAAACCACCCAAAAACTAGGGCTTGGTTCACTCACGTGCAGTCGATGTCTTGTTCAGTCTCACCAGGCACGATGCTCCCTCCACAGGGCTGGCTGATGTCTCTTCATCTTCTTTCTTCCCCTCCTCCTTCTCCTTCTCTTTTTACCTCCACCAGCTGGGTACACAGCTGCTCAAGGTAACAGCATAGCCAAAACAGCATGGCATGTGAGGTCAGACAGATCGAGATTCAAATCCCAGCTCTGTACTTCCCTGGTTGGTTGACTTTATTCCATCTGAGCCTCAACTTTCCTCATCTGTAAAATGGGTGCTACCACCCGGGGTTGTGATGAGGACTGAATGAGCTCATTCATATTACTGGCTTAGCACTTAGTAGGCTCTTAATCAATGCTAGTTCTCTTCCCCACTGCTTTTCTCAGTGAATCTCAAGACAGTTGGAGAAATAGGCTCCTCTGGGCTGGGAGGTGGGCAGACTCTTGAACACTTTCTCTCATTTCCATCCTCAACAGGCTATGAGCAGCCTGCGTGCAAAAACATGGGGTGTTTCCAACCCCCCCTTCCCCACCCCCAACAATCTGCTTTAACCTTCCTATCACAAATGCCTTGTTTATTTCAATATCATCCGTTTTACTTTTCCGTTCATGCAAAAAAAAAAAATTACAAAAACAGATTTAAGAGGAAAAGAAGTATTTAATGAGTAAAACTGTCTGTAGCCCTGTTTCTTTCTCAGGAAAAAGTGGCTGTGATTCTGGCATAAGAGAGGGAAGCTCCACAGCTTCACTTCATTGCAGCTGCCAGAAGAAGTGCATTTCAGAGTGGAACAGAACCTCCACATTAAACAGTACGTCTCCCAGCCAGGCATTCCTGTGCCGAATTCAGCTTGGCAGGTGACACCCCCGTCAAGCAGAGATCCAGCCCTGACATGAGCAACCACAAGGTTCTCTGCTGCTGCCCAGCCTCCAGCTTAGGAGAACCAGCCCTGCCAGGCCCTGGCAAACCACAGACCACAAGGATAAGGACTCTAAGAAGGGAAGGAGGCAGCTGGAAAGGAGTGGATACACTTGGCTGGTGGCCAGGACCCCTCCCAGTTCCAGAAAGGACCAGCACTTTCCCCTCTCTTGAATAAGGCTAGTTGGGCATAAAGATCAAATCCACTGCTACTCAAACAAAAGCTCAGAACATCTGAAGCTTCCTTCCCACCTTCAAGGGTGTCATTTGGGGGGGCTGCTATGGATAGAATCCAAGGGTCAAACTCCGGAAGGACTCTGCTCCCCTAAGAATCCAAAAAGGAAGAGAGAGAACTGGAAAAACAGAAAATAGCACATGACCTTCAAAGATGTACAGTGGAAGCTGCGCCAGGGCAGAGAGAAGACTGAGGCCGAAGAGTGGTCCCCTCCCTTGTCCCAAACACCATACCCCTAGTGATGTAGCCTGCCGACTCACACTGAACTTACTGGCACTTGAGCTCCTAAATTTTTTGCTCATGAGCTGCTGTTCCCCTCTGCAATCTTTTCCCGTAGTCAAGACGGGCCTCAGCGTTTATCTCTGTGATATTACATCATACTAAATTCACCCTGTCACTGCAGCCTGTTGAGATCTTTCTGGATCTTGATTCTGCTATCTGAGCTTTTCTCTGTTCCTTGGAGTTTTCTCGTCTCACTGTTATAAGCCTGTACCCTCTATGTCTTCTTCTGGATCCTTGGCATAGATTGGTCAGAATAGGGTGGAAGGCAGAGCCCCAAGGTAGTCTCTAAAGACCTTCTGCAGACTAACCTAGTTCATTTATGTGAACGTTCCATGGCTGTCGTTCAGCCAGATGGGAGCCCCCCACCCCTGTGCCCTCACAGCCATCCCTCATGTCCTCAAGAGTCGTGGAAGACTCTGTCCAATGTCTTAGGAGGCACTGTGCTATGGCAGAAAGGGTCAGACAGATGCAGGTAGGAATCCCAGCTCCACTGGCCTTGGGCAAGTTGTCTGATTGCCCAGAGACTCAGTTTCTCGTCCATAAAATGGGGACTGTCACATCTAGGGCACAGGCTTGAAAGGATTAACTAAAACCATGTGTGTGAAGTACTCAGCACACAGTAGGTGCTCAAGAAATAATAGATTCCTCTCCACCCCATCCTGGCTCATTTTCTTCACCCACCAGTCATTAAGCTGTCAAGAAGCAAAAAGATTTGCCTGGTTTTGGTGAGCCCACGCTGGCTCCAGATATCACTGTCTTCTTTTCTAGTGTCACAGACTTCACCATCCATGCCAGACCCTCGCACTAACTTAAGATCAGCCTACACTCTGGATCTCTTTTTATCTGAATTCCTGTCAAGATGGTCTTCCCTTCCTGGACCTACACAGTTTTCTAAATAAAAATAATAACAGTAGTAATGGCAGCTTGATTCTTCCAATCCCACTATGAAAAAGAAATATGAATTATTTTTAATAAAAATAATAACAGCAGTAATGACAGCTTGATCTTTCCAACCTCACTTTTTAAAAGATATATATTATTTTTAATACAAATAATAACAGTAGTAATGAAAGCTTGAGCCTTCCAATAGCACTATGAAAATTTTTTTTAAAGTATCTCCATTTTGCCTAGGAGGAAACTAAAGTTCAGAGAGGTAAAATGACCCTCCTGAGGTCACATCACTGGATAATGTGAAAGCTAAGCACAGCTCTGTCTGATCCTCAACACCACACTCTCAATATTCGATAATATTTCCTAAATATTGGCCTAAGGGGGGACTTTGTCTCAGGCCCTGCTGCATTTGTCTTTTAGGGCTCAGCCCAAAGTTCCACTTGGTTGAGAGCCTGTTGGGTCCTGATACTTTCATCCATAGGGGAGCCACTCCTCGTCCCACCTCTCAGCAGCTCTGTGCGCTCCACCTGCACATACTAGACTGGACTGAGGCACAGACTCCATCACTCCCTGAAAACTGGATTCATGCATTCTTCATCTTGGCCCCAGAAGCTGATCTCCACACTCCCACCCTAAGCTCCTCAATGCCTTGGCCCTTGACTCCCTGACAGCCTAAGCACAAACCCGGCCCGGACCCCCTTCCCCAACTCTTCATGAGGGCCCAACCACCTGCTGCCAAATGCTGACACCTCTGAACTGACCACTGCCTCCTAAACCCAATGGCCAGGATCTCCACCTGCCCAAGTGGCACCCTCAGCCTCTCTTCCCTGCCATGTGCCCAGACTATCCAGCCTCCCTGCATGGCTGTCCTCCAGCACTGACCACCAGCCTTCACCCTTCTCTTGACTCCTCTCAGCCCAGGGATCAGACTGGGCTGGAGGTTGAGGGAATTCTCTAAACCTGGGACCCAGATCTGGCTATGGGGAAAGGAGGCTGGCGGAGCTGGGGCTCAGGTCTATGGCCACCAGCAGAGGCATCCAGTCAAGAAAAAGATTCCTAGAGATTTCTGGAGAAGCCATCCATGGGTCTGTTTGCAAGCCCTTGACAACATTCCAGGCAGGATGCCCAGAACCTGAAGCCTGTATCAGACACTTGCCCCCTGGGTCTCAGAGGACAGAGCTTTGGCACAAGCCCACCTTTCTCCCCAGCATGGTCACCCACACAATCAAAAATGCAGCCCTTGACAACTGCACACCCAGAAACACTCGCTTCATAAGCATATTCGCACAAAACACTTCACAAGTCCGCACATACCTTCATGACACACAGAAGCCCACCAATTTATTCAAAAAATATTGATCAAGCACCTGCTACATGCCAGGCACTGTCCTGGGCACTGGGGATACATTGGTGGATAAACCAGACACCCCTTCTGAGAGCTTTCATTCTAATAGGGATACCAACAATAAAATAAAACTCAGAATAGTAAATGAAAAATAATAATAAACTTAAATTAGTAAATTACTTAGTTATTGGAAGGTGATTTGGAAAAAAGATAATTTAGAACAAAGTAGGGGGAATTGGAGCACTGGGGAGAGGGGCAAGTAGAAATTTTAAGTAAAGTGGTCAAAATCTCATTAAGAGAGTGACACTTAAAAGAACTCCTGAAGGAGGTGATAAAGTTATTCATTCATTCATTGGTTCATTCAATAAATATTTATTGAGCATCCACAGTGCCTCTGTGTTCCAGGGACTGTTCTGTTAGTGGGGATACAGACATGAACAAAACAGCTAAAATTCCTACCCTCATGGAGTTTATATTCTGGCATCAGGGGGAGAAACCATAAACAAAACAAAGAAGGAAATATACAGCGTGTCCGAAAGTGATCATTGTTATGGAGATTAAAGCAGAGAAGGAGTAGGGGGAGGGGTACGCAGTTTTGAGCAAGGATGGCCTCCTGTCCTCACCGTCACAGTCCTTCCACTCAGCAAACACCTCCCAAACTCAGCCACACACACTCACGCTAGACTCAGCACGGACTCATCACACAAACAGGCACAGGGGCATCTTCTCTACTGTGAAAAGTACGCTTACATGAACACACACAAATACACCCACATACACAACAAACATGTGCACAAACACACATACAACACACCTACACATGAACACTCACACAAACATACCCAGCACAAACACACAAACACTTCTCAAACACACACAGACACATGTAAGGCCAGCTTACTCAAGCCTCGGAGAAAGACACCCTCAAGGTCACAGAGAGACTAGAAAGTCAGAACTGGCAGGAGCCGAGCTGCAGAGGCTGACAGAAGCTGAGGCCCAGGGAGGAGACACGGCATGCCCGAGGCCAGCAGTGTGGCCACAATTCCAGTCCTGAGTTCCCTACAATACACCACACTCCACCCTGTCCGTAGACTGCCAACTCAGCACTCAACAAAGGCACTCACACTTGCACAACACCCACAGATACACACACGCGCTTGCACGCAGGGATGCACACAGGAGCAGACAGACTCATGTAAGAACGCAAACCTCTTTCCCCTCTTCCACGTAACAAGGTGGGGTGAGGTTTGGAGAGTTTCTGGCACTTGTCCTTTGTCCACGTCATCATCTCCCGCCCACCTCATATATCACAGCTCTTCCGGCCACCATGAAATTTTCCTCCTGCCCTAACCTGTGGCCAAGAGTCATGCATGCATACAAATGCATCATACATGACCACGGACAAACGTGGTTTGGAAATGG